ATCGAACAGAAAGTGCGTGCTTCGCTAATCATTTTGACAATGCTTCCGCTGAAGCTCACAAGACAACACTTAATTCAGTACTTTGAAATGCTTCCTCCTGGCCAACGAGAAGAGGGAATGGTGCAGACTGGTACCTTCCTAATGTATTTAAATACCTGATCAACAGTAAAAACTTAACTCTGGCGCATATGCCCTACAGAATGTATCAGCCGCTGTTCATCAAATGTCTTTGTTAGACTACTGATGGTATTGATATTAACTGAAAGCAGCTTGCAAATGTGCGAGAGCAAACAGCTTGGAGATGTGAATCTGAGGTGGTAGAAATGAAGCAAATACACTCATATAAAACGTTTTGCTACTTTTTCCGGCTATATTCGGTTGTGAAAAGTACAACGATGTATTTTAGAACACAGATATTATTTAAAGGCAAAATCGTGCTGCACTGGTTTGCATTGCAAATATTCTAATATTATTTGAAACTTACTGCTGTGCACCGGAAGACGTAATCGTTTTTTCGATGCCTCCAGCATAGCAAGCCAAAATTGATAGAATGACGCAGAACAGTGAGACCTAAACGGCACAGTGAAAATATAACAAGATAATTCAGCTTTTACCTCACATTTGGGAAAAACAGAGCAATTAGAGAAGTAAGCTGGGAGTGATTTGACCTCTCGCACACTAGAAGCTCAACTGCCGACTGACCATTAAACGAGTTTGTGAATCACTGAGGAGGTAATTCATCGAGCCCATGTAACAGTTCTTTTGGAATTCAAGGACAAAAGCAACGGCACCGACAGTTGCACCGCACCGACAACTGCACCCAACGTTGCACTTCGTTATGTGTTTTTGCACGTTTGTGCAAATGCGAAAATGCAAATTTTGACGACCGTTGGTATGCGTGTGTGAGTATGCATATGCCCGGGTACTTCAACCCGACAACAAGGCAAGCTTTGATCCTGAAATTTTGCCAGTGGACTCCTTGGCCAAGCGCTATTGCAGGGAAATGGTGTCAAGTTTCAAGTGCCTGAGGCCCAGGCACGGACACAAAAACTTTTGGTGAGAGAAATGCCAATTTAGGAAACAGAAACGATGGAAAGCTGAAATTTTAAAAGGGTGTTCTCTGTCCACAGACTACTTCAAGATTTCAACCTTAGCTCCTAAGCACGTCTGGTTAG